TTCGACACACTGGGAGGGGGCTGCCGCCATTCCAGCGACGCCACTGGTGAGACTCGAGACACCAGTCCGACACCATCAGCGGCTCGCATCGCATTCCTCCAGATCCCCCCCAACGACAAATGATGCTTGGCCAGCACGCGACAGTGCTGAGGGTCCTCGAGGGGTCCTTTGGGGGGGGGGGATTGGGCCCTGTGGTGCTCCAACGGTGCCTCCAACGCGGATACGCGTGCGGGTTGCGGTTGCGGCTAACGCGCCGCCGCATCGTGACAGTGTCGCAGCAACCAGAGATCTGGCTGATGAGATCTTGCAGCAATGCAAGAAAGCCTGAAACCCAACGAGCCAAGCCCCTACGCAGCGGTAGTATTGGAGCTATTGGTATTGTCGACGGTGAGGTGGTGAGCGATAGGGTAAACAATGTTCCCTCCTCAGTGCCCAAGGTAGCAGTCAACCGCTACCTATCAAGCCCCCTTTTCTTGCGTCCGTCGGTTACGAAATGTCGAAATTCATTGCGATGACAGGCAAGCGAAGACTGTACGGAATCTCATGGTAATTTTGGTTGAAATTACTCGAAATCACCCATGGTGTCCTTCGGCCATCAGTCCCTTGTCTGCGTCGTCGTCATTCATCGTCGACGATGGAACGGTACGGACGGTACGTCCACCCACAGTGCTAGCCTGTACAAGCAAACCCCCCTCACCGTTCGACAGAAGACAAGGATCAAGGAAAAGACAAGGATAGGCCTCTCTCTTCAGGCTTGTTTCGTTCGACTCTTGACTCGCCGATGCTGCACATCATCCCACTAATCTGCCAGAAAAAGTTCGACCCATCCGACAGATGCGGTCTCATCTCTTAACTTGCAACAGCATCGAGTTGTGTTACAGCGTTCCCGTCGCCGAAGACAACGTTGCTCATTTGTGCCATTTGAGCTCTCGCCATGGTTATCCAAAGCCACAGCTTCGTGAAGGACACAGCACGAGATATTTGGACCAGAGCTGGGGCAGTGCTAATTTCTCCAGTAATTGGCTGAACCAGGGACTATGGTAGGGTTCACTGAAAACTTCCGAAGATGCCAAAATGCAGCAGCGGCGTTTTGGTTGCTAGTAACTAGCTCAAGCTCTTTTCTCGCTCCGCCAAGTTATATTGTCGGTGTGCAGTCGAGGGAGTCAGTGTATTCAAAGGTTACCAAGACCCGAGTCGCGAACTACACTATAGAGATCTCGGTACACTTCAAAGACTTCTTTCCTCGTACAAACGGTGCCTTGAGGAGAGGAACGGACGAGTGGGAGAACCGGGCCCTCACCGCAAGTTCTGCACTCTCTATTCGTTCCCCTTGCTCAGACTTGACGAACAAGAGCAGTAATGAAAGATATCAAACAGTCAGCCAACAAAGACAACTTCAATTGCCACTCTATGAGCGAGTTACCAAAGTCTTTTCACCACTGCAACCTGATACTGACCATGAACCGGGCATCATTGCCTTCAGGGACTTCTGGGCTCTGTCCAAGTGCAGCAGGCTAAAGTCAGCAACCTGAGAATCAACAAGTGTCTACCTACCAAGTGCCGGCCTGGCTTTGTCGCAGGAGGCCTGGTCCCTGTAGGCCCCAAGACGTGATGTTGACTAACGTCGACGCCAAGTAGCCTCGTTGGCCAGCAAATCAAGTTGTTTCTGCTTGTCGCCGTCTTCGCCGTCGTCGAGATCTCCTGGAGGAATGGACGTCCATTGCGTCGGGGATCATGCTGCCAAATTCCAACCAAACATGGATCTGCTGTCGGGAGAGGCGCAAGCGCTACTGAGGATGGTAATGCGCGGTTTTCCTTCATTCTCTTCTGTTCCGCTTCGACGAGTTGGTTGCTAGCTCTATACAATGTTACACCCCTCCTCTCCAGTACCACAATGCTGGAGTCCTTTGGGGTTATTTACCGTAACTGACTATCATGGTGCCCGCATTATCTTTGCCAACCTTCCTCCGGTGCTATGAGCCAGTTCAGGATAATCTGCTATGTCTCTATGCGCTCCTGTTTACAAGTCCACGGATCGGCGCAAACACGACACTACACAGTAGCTTACTACATATACATAGTAGTATCTGCTCCGTACGAGCGGGACACTTGTTAGACGGTTTTGAGACTCCAATCATCTCATTTACTTGCTGTGAGCTGAAGGTTTAACACACTTGACGCCTGAAGACTCTTGGAACCTGGGGCAAACCAGAGGAATTGCTATAGGAACGTTAGCCGAGTACAAACGGCAACAATTGGAAGTCCCAGGCATCGTTCACACTCTTTCAAAATCGTACGTCGTTAGTCAGCTACAGGCTGAGCTCATCATGGAGGCACGTGGACATCGTTTGGCAACTGGAAGCCTAAGTTGCTAGAGCAGAGCGTCACGATATATGCAGATCTCGGACACTCTGGCGGGCTCGGCACGCCGGACCTCCCCTAGCTGGCATTTCAGCGACTTCTTCGCTGATTGAAACGTTGTCGATGATCTTCCTCGCTGGTTCTTCTTTGCTTGAGAACAATCACAATGGTTACTTTTAGGGAAGGCAGTGATGAGCGCATCACTTGAACACAAAAGCGCTACCGGCTGTGGCAGCCCGGATTGCACCAATGTCTGCCACCACTGCCTATGTCGGACGGTAATAACTCGCGTTTGTAGACGAGACAATACCATCTCGAATCGAAACAATGGGCGCCACAAGATTTCGACCTCTTCGTATAACAAATTGTACACTTCCCGCTTCCAGACCAAGATAGAACACTGTGAAGCTATTACTAAGAAAAGGCTTGGATGGCTTGCGTAAGCCTCGACCGCAATCGAAGGAGAGAAATTGCAAGTTGCCGCCACAACTGATAATCCATCTTCGCAGAGCAACACCTTGGTAAAGAATATGAAAAAAAAAAAAAAAAAAAAAAGAAACTTCACATTTGAGCCATAATGTCGGAGAAAGTCAGGGGCGTAATCAACATAGCTCGTAACTTCGCCTGGTATGTAACTTTCGTAACTTTACATTGGTCCAAGGGGTCGTTTCAGAAGTACCGCAAAGTCCAATGCGATGCGAAAGCTACGCTAAAATAGCCTGGGTACAGAAAAGTACTTGTTCGAAAGAGAAACTCCCACAATCTAACCGCAGTCTTACACTGTGCATCCATGAGGTCACTTTGTCAGATTCTTTCTGTCGAGGTTCACCGTCACGGTCATGTATACGAAAAATGCTGTGTATCAGCAGCTGTCAACTCGGTGATCTCTCCAATGATGATGAGAACGAAAGAGATCATAAAGAATTGAGACGCCAAATAAATACACACTCTGCCAGCAACCAAATTGTCTCTTTATCGGTGGTTACTAGAATTTTTGGTGAACTGAGCTATCAGACCGCCGCAACTGGAATCGGGAAAGTTGAAAACACCGCGACTCAAAACCGCGTGTGCGATTTGTTCAGACTTCCAGAGGCTGACCATCTCACGTAACCTAACCTTGACTTCCTGTTGTCGTAGGAACAGTAACTAAGAAGTCCAGAGACTCAACACATCATGTTCGAGTCCCGAGAACCAAGATGATGACAGCTTAAACTATTTTGATACCCTCTTCACCCTTCAGGATTTGCAGGCTCAAGCCGTTCCGTGGTAGACCAGATGAAAACAGTCCGGTGTTGGATGCCATTCATTGCATGCTGTTGTACAGCCTTGCACCAGACCCGGCAATTCCCGCTTCTGCTCTCGGGAATAGAACCCTCAAACAAGCCGGTGCAAAGTCACAATGCACCATGAAAACACCCAACTTCTACTTCATATCGCCAGTGTTGTTGAAGGAGAATGCAAAGTGACTGGCAACCTCATTTCTCTCTCTCTCTCCGGCTCTGTTGTCCTTTTGGTCCGCGCGTGCCCGAAATGAAGGAACCCCTGCTCTCCGTGCTCGCTCTCCGACGGTTCCCTTCAATGTCCGCTTTGTGTTCGTTTCAACCACCTGGCTTTCGCCCTTCATGTTTCTGCGGTCTGTGACATTTTAAATCGTCCTTCGAAGTTCGAACCTGAACGAGCACCAGCAGCACTAGGCCGTTCGAGAAACCTTCGGAACCAAAAAGCAAGTGGCGTAAATATAGACAAATAGCAATGAGGAAGCAGCAGCAGCAAGTTCACAACTTTTATACATCGGAGACGTGTGGATATTTACACTACAGGTCACCGACTGGATGCGCAGACATTTTATTTCCTGTCTATCAGTCCAATCTGGAGGGGGAGGGTGTATGAAAATATCGTCGTTGGATTTTCTTGAACCCCCGGCAAAGGTACGTACCTCAATTGCGCTACGTGATTGGAGCTAGCCGGTAACGTAAGACCCACCCTATCCACTCATCCGATTCTCCTCTTCGCAGCTTCACCAGCGCACAGGCAGGGCCTAGCACATTTTTCGTACTTTGTACCTCACTCAGAGTGACGCTGGCCTCCTTCCAAAATACAAAAAGGCAACGGCACCTACAAAACGCGAAGGCTCCACTTCTGTCCTCCGCCCATTTTTTCTCTCCACCTACCAATCTTTTTTCCTTTTGAGCCTCAACCCAAAGTTCAGGCTTAGGGCATTCTCCACCTCTACGTGTGTATACTCCTCCAACAAGTTCGTCGCCGGCATTAACCACGATACTGGATCGCAGCTTCATCTCCCACCGCCGCACACGATTTCTCCCCCAGCGGCCCGTCGCACCACCAAAAACAACGTTGTAGCGTCGTCGCATTACTGTCGACCATCCCGTACTGTCAGACTTTTACCGACAACGGGCTCGAGTGCATCGTCGGGCAAACAAGCGCAACGCAGGTCTTTTTCTTTGCCTTGCTACCCAATTCCGAGCCATTGGTCTTCAGGAGTCTCTCCAGCCAACGCGCCTTCCGCTGAAGATCCAAGTCCGAGACAAAGAGTCGCCAGAAAAGAACCCTATTCGCGCCCCCGTTGCCGGATGGTTTTTTCTGTGCTCGCTACTTCACGGTAATTTTCGAGACGGATTATGGAAGGTTTGCCGCACTACTCGACGAATGTCATAAACACGTCGGCAGCTTCATACAACCCTTCGCCCTCAGCCATTTCTCCGCACCAGCTCCAGCAGCAACAGCAGCAACAGCAGCAACAACAACCCACCGCGCCTGCCCCCCCGCAGACACTGCCTCCTCTCCAGCCCAGCAACACGGTCATGCAGCAACCTCCTTCCTACGGCAGCTACCCTCACACCCCGAGAACTGCAACCCCCAACACGCCTGCTTCCACTAGCAACATGGCCAGCTATCCTCCCCCTCCCCCCAACGGCGCTGGCCGCGGTGCTGGCTATCCCATGATGGGCAGCAACCCGTATCCCCAGCAGTCCTACGCGACATCTTCGGCCATGATGCCCCAGTCCACCACCGCCGCCTCGCATCCCCAGCCCATTGCCCCGGCCCCGTCCCCGGCTAACGGCCGTGTACCCCCGGTGCTCCGCCCGATGCCGGCTGGTGGAGTCATGCAGCCCGGTATGAACTCCCCCTACGGCCAAAGTCCACTCATCGCCGCTCAGGCGTCAATGCTTCCCGAGGGCGATCAACCCACCCACGTGGTTGGCTCCCAGGGACGCCGTGGGATTCTCCCTAGCGCGCCGGGAAAGCCCGCTGCTCCCGCTGCCGGCAGCGCGTCTGCGAAGAACCAGATTCCCCAGAAGGATGCCGATGGCAAGTTCCCTTGCCCGCACTGCACAAAAACCTACCTCCATGCCAAGCACCTCAAGAGGCATCTACTCCGCCGTAAGTTCATCCCCCGAGCCCTTCTTCTTTCCTAGTCATTGAGGGTTCAGCATTCTGACAGAGTTGAGCAGACACCGGCGACCGCCCTTATATGTGTGTCTTGTGCCGTGATACCTTCTCGAGAAGTGATATTCTGAAGCGCCATTTCATCAAGTGCTCCGTTCGTCGCGGTAACCCCACTGGAGCCAGCCATCT